ATAATATATTATATATATATTATATATATATATATATATATATATATATATATATATATATATATATATATATATATATATAGAGTTATTTACATGGAAAAAATATTTTAATATCCAGTTTATTGAAACAACTCGAAAAAAATAGGACAAAATTTCTAGTTAAATTTTCTATATGTATTCTTTTAGTATAATATAACTATATATAATATAACTATAATTAATTTTTGTTTATTTCTTTCCATTTCTTATCGTATATTAAGATAAATAATTTATTGGAAATTTCCTACTATTAGTTCAGTTATACCTCCTCTTACTGAAAATCGATTAGATAAAATATATAATTTAAATTTTATATATAAGTTACAATTTCTTGCAGGTGCAGCTAAAAATTTAGTTCCTGTACTAGCGGCTTTACCATCAAGTAGAGCAATGTCCAGTCCGCCATGTTCGCCAAAAGGAGATCAGGACGGCGGTGGATGTCAAAGTTCTGGATCTACAACCGTGTCTGCTACGTCTTCGCCAGGTCTTGATGAGGAACCTGAGCAATCTAGAATTACTATTAATCCCACTATAGAAATGTCACCAAGGAAGAAGCCTCGTAAGCAACAACTTACAGGTGTAGAATTAACTGAACCTAGATGTACGGAAGAAGAGATGCAATTTCTCACAGATGAAAAAATAAAGAAAGAAGGCAAAGAGGAATCAAAAGAAAAATTGTCCGATAAGAGACAAATCTCCAATGTACAAAGTGATATCAAATCATCTACTCAGCAAACAGAAATCACAATACGGACACGACCTGTGCCAAGTTTATTAGGTATGTGTAATAATATAAACATTTTATTTTATTATGTTCATTTATTATGTTACATACTTCTTATGTTAATTCTTGTATAATCCCAATTATATTCTATTTGTTTTCAGGCTCTTGGAAAAATAAATGGACAGTTAGATTACATCATTACAGAAGACCCAGCGATGTCCGACCGCGTGAAGAAAGAAGACCAACGGTTGCTGAATTGGCGCAACAGAAACATGTATTACAAAAACTGAATGGATGGAAAATCTATCATCTAACTACGCAAATGGAAGATATTGCAGAACTTGAGAAACAGGTATTTGAAAAGAATATTGATTGAATTTTGTTCAGTTTAAGTGAGTAGCAAATAATTATTGTATTATATTCGTTTATAGGTTCACGAAAAATTAAAGACAACTCTAATGTTACTGGAATCGCAGCAAACTGGAAAAAATAGACATAATGATGGACTCGAACGTGTGAATGAATTAATCAAGGGCAACATGCAACGCAGTAATTTGATCAGCGAAGGCATGATCGAAGCGCGTACACAGCTCGTTGCTATATTTCAACACAAAGATCCTATTACTGATCTTTTACAACGCTGTGGTAACAAAAGAGCTCAGAAAAAGAGAGAAAAATGAGCTATCATGCTGAATGAATGCGAGTAGAATCTTTATAAATGAACTTCTTTGAAGAAAGGTTCGCTAAAGGGAACTATTTTTATTCTGTGTCACAGATTCTATATATATATAGGAATAAATAAATGGTTTTATAAGTCTAAAAGACATGACTATGTCACTATATAGAACGATATGTTTATAATTTTATTATATGAATCTATAATGTTTTTATTTTAATATAATACTTCTTATACTCCTTTAGACAAATGTCTTTCTATTCATTTAATTTCTGCCTTTAATTAATTTATGTATATCTCTATTTAAACCAAATTAATTTCTTCGAGAACAAGCTAGAATATTCTTTATAACATATTAAGTATTTATATACAACATGAGGTTGTCATGGAGATAACAAATCTTGAACCATGCTTGATACCAGTAATATAATCCCCAATAATAGTACATACATTCCATAAAAATATATATTTTATAAAGTTTAGCAAATCTTGAAATATGTGGTGGGGATATAGTCAACCGTTAGATTTACAAGCTGAAATAACACAAAAAGAAAATTGTGTTTTAGACAATCTTGAAATATTGATTGTAGGCGCGGGTGATGCACGGCATATTATGAAGACACTAGCTTCATCTTATACACATTCTGATCAAGCTATCACGTATCATGTTATCGAACCGACTTTGGAACAAGTTGCTAGATCGGTGCTTTTATTAAGCATTTGTTTAGAAAAAGATTTGGGTATGTATTTACAAATTAATATTCAATTTATGTTGAACATCATAGGAATTAACATATGTCATGTAGTCAATATATACTAAAGGACTACAGGAAGCGACGCGATATTATTTGGAGATTTTGGGTAATACCATTTTGAGACCAGCAACAGCTAAATATCTGGCGAAATGTGCCAAACAATTGATCGATATTCCGACTCAGACCATTGACTGTCCATGGTTATCGTTAGAAAAATTTAAACATAAGGATAGAGATAATTTGGAATCCATTTTTAAGTAAGTTAACGTTAAACTTAAGAGAATATAATTCGAAAAGAGACAATGGTTTTAAACAGTAATGAATTTTGATATTTTGAAACGTTTGAACAAAATTTAATTTGAAATATTTTATAATACAAAACTCTTGAACACAGACCTAATGAAAAATTCGCCAATATCTGATTTCTATATTAATTTCTAATAATTCTTTATATCACAAGATTCTGGGCGCGCGCGACACGCGAAGGAGTTCCCATTGTAAATTATTGGGATCGCAGGATTAGAAAATTATTGAAAACAAGGTACGATTATAGAGAAGGCGTTTTTGATTGGGATTATTACATGGTTTTAAAACCCAGATGTACCACTAATCTTACTATACAAGAATATAGGTAGGTTTATAGAGAGAAAAAGAAAAAGCATATAATAAAAACGATGCAAATTTATAAATGAAAATGATAACGAGATGATGATAATGAGATTACTTCGCATAGCTTTGTATAGTACTTTAGATGAAATGATTATCTCCATTGGTTATTTATAAGAAAACATCGTGTATTATTTATAATTATTAGATTTTGGAGAAATAATGGCGTAGCTTTTACATGGCTCGAAGGTGAACCAGCTAGAAGCAATCCGACTCTGTTAAATAATATAATACAATGTGGACCTGGCTTTATACATTATGCATATTTGGGAGACATCGTAAACGGTCCCTTTTTTACTTGGGCTGCTATTGAAAAAAATGAAGAAAAGTAATTAAATATTTTCGATAGAGAAATTTGCGCATTTATTGTTTCCTGTAAATAAAAATTCTTAAATTGTATATCTTGAAGGCTCAGGGCAACAGATATTGCCGAACGTGAAGTAATGCGTGCAATTCACGAAATAAAAGCAAAAGAACCACTGTGTGAAGATTATGTCGGTGCTCACAGGGATGCCTCAATTCTAAATAGCATTATAGTGAGCCAAATGCCAGATATTGAAATGGAAAACGAATCGTGGATAGATGTTGAAAATAAATCTAAGCAAAATAAAAAGATTTCTTGGGTGGAAGTACCAAACCACAAGGTACGTTTTGTATGCTGCAATAAGTCAATGGATATTTCATATAAGAGTTTTATTTTTAGATAATTTTTTATCCTGCAACATCACTGGAGTCTCTCAAATCTAAATGCGAATATATAAATAAATTCCATTTGATTTGGATAGCGCATAACATGACAAAACAATTAGCAAATCTGGCGCCATTGGCATCCGCAGGTGCACCGGTGATTGTCGAATTGCGTAAACATATGGCAGACCTTCGCAAAGAGGATCTGCAAAATTTTACCAAAGAATTGAAAGAAATTGCACAAGAAAATGGACTTCGTTCACTTTATGACTTTGATTCTAATGAACATATTTTTGCTCGTTTTTGCAAAAATTAAGTGATGTTAAATATATTTTAATAATTTAATATCATTAAATATACATATTAGATGGCATAACATAAATAAGTTAGATAGGATAAAATAGAGAAATTTAGTCAATAAACAAAAAAATACGAATAAAAAAAGAAAATGCCAATTTAAGGCTAGATTGAAAAATAATTTTTTATCAAAGATCCTTAAACGATAATCTTTTTTATTCTCAATTTCTTCTTTAGGATATTCAATGTGAATCTTGAATATGCTTTAATGTATCAATTTTTAGAAATTCAAGAAATTAGTTTTTTGATATGTAAAATTGAAGTACGTTTGTTATCATCTTAGTGAAAGAATATATATGATTTATATATGAAAAAAATAATGAAAAAATCTTTTATCATTACTTTAATTACATGCATAATTTAAAAATATATATATTACAAATTTGTAATATAATATAGTCAATATTTCAACAAAATGTACAAATGTTTACATATGTAAAAGTTATTATAATACTCGATCGTGTCAAATAATCATAATTAATCATTGTACTTTATACTTTTGCACTGTCTAGATTTTCAGTTATTTCGGATACTATATTCTTATCTTTGTCTTTTTCTTCTTTTTCTTCTTCTTCAGATGACGTATCACTTTGCGGGAAGACGGGAAGCGCTAAGAACAAATATGATATTAAAACAGAGATTAAAAAGATAAATAGAAGATAATTATTAGACATTCTTACCAAGCCTATTTATTTTCTCTTTCCAGGCATCTTCTAAAAATTTATCTTGTACTGCTATCACTTCCTCAATATTTGCACAACGAGCATACTTTTCCAACAATTCATCATTCAGCTTCAAGAATGAGTGTCCCCAACGAAACTTCTCAAGATATAGCTTAGCTTCATCCGTGAATCCTGTTATAATTAAAGTAGCCGCAATAGCTTCGACACAACTCAACTCACAGGGTCTCCCAAAGTTGACAGGATTGGCAGCAACCAAGAATGGCAAGATGCGAGGATGGGCTGTCTTTACTTTGTGGAAAGGAGTATCGTCTATCCGTGACCAACTACAATCTACGACTGCACAGCCGTACTTTTGCACAATTTCACGATCCAAGGGAGTCACGCACTGCAACATCGTATCCAGGACTCCATTATGAGATTGCTGTCAATGTCGTTGATTCTTTATTCTATCAACTACCTTGCTACCCTTAGGAGTGAGGCATAGGCCTTGAAATCGAGTGCCCAATCGCAACAACTTTATTAAACCTTGTCTCATCAGCTTCCTGCCAGTACATTTTTTGGGATCACAGTGCTCCAAGTCCCACATAGCCACGGGGAATGGTAACGGCCACTCGTTTGCCGACTCTGCAAGTTTGACCAGAGTCTCGGTGACCGTTGTAAAGCATAAATCCCCCGTGAAAAATGTTCCCGATCTAACCTGTCTTGTCATTCTCCTCGCTCGATTCATCCGATTCTCGGTCTCGCGACTGATGGTACCTTTGCTCCTTACCGAGGACGTGACGGTGCCTTCTCTGCAACAATTTGCTCTTGTTCTTCTTTCTACGTCCTGACATTTTCTCAGGTAATCTGATTGCTGTGTCGTTCGTCACCGTCCGTGCCCAAGATGTTTTTTGATCCGAATCCTGTTTGTTTATCCGCAACTTAACCTAACGTCCATCGTTGTAAATCGACCCTGTTAGACACGTAATTGTGATTTTTTTCATGTGTGTTGTTATTATTTATATTAAATATTTCGAGTTGTGTCTTTACACAACCGTTAGAACTAAAAAATAAATTCATCAAATATTTATATATTTGAAATAAGAACGTTCACTAAATTTCGCAAAATTGTTCCAATAGGTAATTCTGCAGAATAATTGAAAAATGGGAGAAGTAATACGCACGACAGAACATGATCCACATTCGGTAAGAGACGACGACTCTCTGTATGTCGCTTCGAAATGCTGGGAACGCGTTATGGACGTCGCTGCCAAAGTATGTGAAAGAGAGGTCTATGATGGATCGTACGCGACATCATGATATTTACATTGCCTTCACATTTGACAATCGATTTTTAGACTGGCTACAGAGAAGGGATGCAAGACGGTGCGGATTCTGTACTACAAAATGGATTTGATATAGGCTTCAAGGACGGTTTCAAGACTGCTTTTATGCTAGGAAGGTATAAGGGTCTGGCTACTGTCTCAATGCCTTCGACTTTAGAACACCCTGCCGATGTAATTGCTATTCTTGATAAAACCAGACGAGGCGCGTGCTGGATATGCAGCATAGAATCACAAAGCGAAACTTCCAACCCACCTGAGACTGCCCCATTCTCTGAGATTCTGAATGAACAGAGAATGCACTCCACAAAAATAATAAGCAGGCTATGCGAATACTTTAAGCCAGTTTTAAAGAAATCAGAAATTGATCTCGATTTTTTAGATACTTTAGATACGGAATGAATAATTGATTTTAGAATATTTAAAAGTTCAATAAATACTTGTAAATATATTGTTATAAAAGATTAATTTTATTTCCTATATAGAAATTTTTATTAACGTCCGGATAACTCCGCGACTTAATCATACAGATTATTAACAATAAATGTTTCTTTTATAAATATAATCCCTCAGGAGAACCTTCTTTCTTTCGGTACAACACGCTTTCCTTGGACTTTTTGAAATCGTCACTGGTAACTTTCATACGTCGTTCACGTAAAGCCATTAAACCAGCCTCAGTACATATTGCCTGAAACGAGATTCGTTTTAAATTTTAATAAAGCAATAAGAAAAAATTTACAGTTATACAAGACGTATACGAAGCAAAATATTTTTATAAAAAATATTCTACCTTGATATCTGCACCGGAAAGATCATCCTTTGCCATGATTAACTCCGCGAGATTCACATCAGGCGCCAATGTCATTCTACTCGTATGAATATTGAAAATTCTTCTTTTAGTTTTTTCATCTGGTAGTGGGAATTCTATTTTCCTGTCAATTCGACCCGGTCTAATTAAAGCAGGATCCAAGGTTTCTATTCTATTAGTAGCCATAACAACTTTCACATCGCCTCTACTGTCGAAACCTAATAATAATTTAATTAAACTTATTATCTAATATAACGAGATTTTTATTGAATTTTATATTAAAATAATTTTATATAATATATTAATTATTTTTGTATATAAAGACTAATAATGTGTCTAAAAAAATATATGATATAACATCTTCAATCAAGGCTGCATCATAATGTCTAAGTATTTTTTTTTTTTATTAATATTTAATATATAAGTACTCTAATTTATATATAAAAATTCAAATTTAATTCAAGGCTTTGTTTCTATTATATTAACTAAATTACTTTCATAATTTAGTTAATATAATTTAGTTACTGAATAAACATAGCAAACTTGCAAACTTGCAACATAGAGACCAAAACCAGAATTATATATTCACTAATAAATCAATAATCAATTTAATGATGTTGATTAAAAATCTCCGCGTAAATTATTAGAAGCTTGCATACCATCCAGTTGATTAAGCAATTCTAACATGGTTCTCTGAATCTCCCTTTCTCCACCACTATTGCTGTCATATCTTTTCGTTCCTACTGCGTCTATCTCGTCTATAAAGACAATAGATGGAGCATGTTCCTCAGCAACTCTGAAAAGTTCTCTCACGAGTTTTGGGCCGTCTCCTAAATATTTCTGTATAAGTTCAGAACCGACAACTCTCAAGAATGTAGCTGATGTTTGATTGGCCACAGCTTTGGCTAACAAGGTTTTTCCTGTACCAGGTGGACCGTAAAGTATCACACCCTTTGGAGGCTTAATACCCATTTCCTCATAATATTCTGGATGAGTCAATGGTAATTCTACAGATTCTTTAATCTCCTGAATTTGGGTATCAAGACCTGAAACATATTCATATAAATCATACTCCTTAAGATTTTTACAAAATACTTCAATAGAGCACTTTGCAAATAGATTTATTAGAATGTACATGAATGAATGAAAATTATTTAAATACAAAATATACAGAGCATACATACCTCCGATATCAGTGTAAGTTTCTTGAGGAGCCTTTTCAAGCTTCATCACTGTAACCATAGGATCTGTATCATCTCCTAAGACACCAACAACGGCATGAACTTTATGGTTCAACAGCACAGAACAACCAGGTTCCAATTGATCCTTGTCTACAAATGACAAGATGGATACATAATGTTCGGAGCCAACCGAAGTAGACACTATTGCATGATTGTCATCGATTATTTCTTCCAATGTTCCAACGGACATAGGAGTACCACGGAGATCATCCACCTTGGATCTTTCTTCCTCATTCTTCTCTTCCTGTGGCTTCAGGCGCTCCTGATTCCTAATGAACTCTTCTTCCATCAGCAAATAATCCTTTATACGCTCCATTTTCAATAGTTTCAGCCTACAACGTGTATGAGGAGTTACTTGGGGTAATTTGAGGGCTGCATCCGGCCCTTTAATACGTCTCTTCTTTTTGCCCACTCTCGTTGGAATTGGTGGCTCATATTTTTTCTTTTTGTCTTTGTCATCTTTCTTGTCACCACCACTGCCACCAGTCCCAGATTGATTCTGACCCTGTTATGATTTATTATCGTTAAAGAATTCCGCTGATAAATAAAAATCCGAGAGAACTTAAGACTTAAACTTATTCGAAAAAAATGAAATTTGAAAGATCATATTTCTTTTAATTAAATTTGGAAAAAAGTATCTAAGGCAGAGCAAACATTTGAAAGATAATTAACCTAAACAATTAATGAACAAAGTATAATCCCAAAAAATTGACGATAACTGTTTCTTGCAATAAATATCTCCACATTTGACAGTTTACATAAAAAATTATTTAATAATTTGATAAACTCACCATCCTCTCTCACAATAGATCCTCGATTTGGTCTACCTCCCCTTCGAAACGGCGAAGTCATTCGCCTTCGCCAGCCGTTCACTTGGAATGATTCTGCGCAGTCGATAGGAAAAGATCGACTTTCATTGTTCCGCCCCGATCGATACAGGAATCTCGATTGCGAATAAAGAAACATTCGCAATTTTTCGGGAAATTTATATATTTTTCTAGGTACTTTTTACATACGTACATAAAATCGCATTTATTAATTAAATAACCGAGACAAAATTAAATATGTAAAATGAATTTAATTTACAGACACGAGAAATGGATTGGGTCGCTTTGAGAAAATAATTCGCGTATCTTTCATCGTCTTCAAACAATCTTAATTGTAATAAGCACAATTTTTTTTATATTCCTCAAGGATAAACATTCTTAGAGAATTTAATTGATTTAGCTATGAATAATCAATTTTAAAATCATTAGCAATTCTTCGAGAATCTGCAATAACATCGTTAAAATGAAATGAGATTTCGACGTTCAATCAGCATACTTTATATGGGTTTCGCATTCGTTAATACATAGTATCGAAAGATATACAATATATCTTACATAATGGGACTAAGAGAGCATTCGCAAGTTTTCACGTACAAAGCTATTCATCGAGATCCGACGATGCAGACACGATGATGGAAACATCGCGAGATAACAACTCCACTGTTATCAATGCACCACTGAGATTGAGTTTATATCGAATATACTCGAACGGCAACTTTAAATGTTCGCCTGCTTGGCAGTGTGCTCTATTTTTGTACATTAACGCGTGATTAAACATTCCCTTCTCTCCCAGCCCTCCACCCTGCACGTCACAGGAACATGTCTCTCGCACACAAACACACGATCCTTATCTTCTTACTTAGCAAACTTTTGATTTAGAATCGTGAATATTCCGCTTTCCCTTTCGAGGTGCGAAAGTCGTTCCACGTGCGATGAGATAATCTCAAGATGCTATAACGCACAAGTGCAAACAGTAATATCATTCCTTCATATATTTAAATAACTCAATTGAGAGTCACGTTACTTATATCCTACAGTGACGCACAATTCAACAACGCTAAAGAGACTTAGATTGGTGAGATTTTATTTTAGCTTGTGGATCTACATCTAGAGTACTTAAAGTAAGTACCTTCTAGCTTTTCTCGATCTCTAGCTTCTCTCTGTGCCTCGCCCTCGACATTGATTGAGCGTGAACAGAGAAAACGGAAAATACAAATGTTCATGAGAACGCGACTATCGGTCCGGCTAATTGTCATCTGTAGTGAAAAAATTTCAATAAAAAAAAAATTACGTCGGTTCTACAATGTATTAACTGAGGTGTAAAATAAAATACACTTTTCGCTGCAATTCGAGATAATAAATAGGACTAGTTCGTGTGCTTATTGTGACTGCACTTGTCGCGTCATTCCACGTGCGATTTGGAGATTGACGGCGTTCGAAACAAAGTATCAACAAATGTTTCTTACGAAACGTTTCAATGATTATAGATTTCCGGAGCGGGAAGACTCTCGGTCGAGTTTCCAGACTCTCTGTCGCGCTCTTATTTATCCACAGTGATCGTACGTATCGTTAACACACGCATTAACGCGCGTGATAAGCATGTCTCAAGTTATTAAAGGCCAGCCAAGATAATCCTAGGATCTTCCACAGCGGCTTTGATCTTCCTCAGGAACATCACAGCCTCGCGTCCGTCGATCAGCCGATGATCGTACGTTAGAGCCACGTACATCATTGGTCGAATGACAACCTGAAAACATCAAATGTTCGTCAAGCGATGGCGATTTCGCGACGCGAGTTACAATTACGAGTTTAGAATGCAATTAAAAGATCCTATGTATTTCGTTTAAATTTACCTCTCCCTTAACGGCAATCGGTCTGTCGAAAACACCGTGCATACCGAGAATCGCGCTCTGCGGTGGATTAATGATGGGAGTTCCCAACATCGAGCCGAAAACACCACCATTGCTTATCGTGAAGGTACCACCGTCCATGTCCTCAACTGTGATCTTTCCTTTTCTTGCCTTCTCGCTTAAAGCGGCCAGGGCAATTTCAATCTCGGCAAAGTTTTTGTTCTCTACGCTGCGAAGTACCGGCACAACAAGTCCCTTTGGTGTCGCGACGGCCACGCTAATATCTACGTAATCTCTATATACTATGTCGGTGCCGTCTATCACGGCGTTCACCACAGGTTGGTCTTTTAAAGCATAGGCACTAGCCGCGACAAACGGACTCATGAAACCAAGTTTGATGCCATACTTTTTCATGAACGATTCTTGATGCATCTTTCGGAACTCAATAATGCGACTGCAAATTATATTAAATTATATTAAATAAAAATACGTAAGAATAATATGAACGCATACAAACATACACAAACACACATATGACACAGATATGACAATGATTGAAATTACCTCATATCAATTTCATTGAATGTGGTTAACATAGCATTCGTGTTCTGTGCGTCCTTCAATCGTTCCGCGATACGCAAGCGCATTCTGTTCATTTTCACTCGTTGCTCTGTCCTAGTGCCGATTATCTCACGTGTATAATCGGCGGGAGGTAGCTGTACTTTTGCGCCTTCTAGTGACTGAAATCATATTATGCTTATTCATATCATAATCTTAAGAAGTTATATATACAATAATACTCATCATTGATATTTACCTGGGCGTGTTTAATGGCCGCTACAGGCATCGACACGGTAGGAGCCTGCTGAGGTGGTGGTTGAGTGCTTGGAGGAATTGATGGTGTCGTAGGTCGTGGCGGCGGCGGCGGCGGTGGTGATGGAGCTGCACGCGGAGGTGGTGGTGCGGTTGGTGTTGGTGGTGGCGCTTCCGCAGGTGCTGCAGGTGGCTCTTTTTCTGGGGCAGCTGCAGCGATTGCACCAATATCAATGGTGCATAATTTTTGTCCCGGTTTCACGGTATCGCCATCCTTAACGAAAAGCTCCTTTATGACGCCGGATCCAGGCGCCGGCACAGGAACCGAAGTCTAACCGAAGGATAAGGGCGATTAAATGTGGAGTGCCTCTTGTCATTGCGATTATTACTCTTATTCTTTATAATCGAAAAGAAACGTAAAACATTCAAAATGCACACCTTGTCCGTTTCGATCTCGCAAAGGACATCGTCTTCCTTCACCTGATCGCCAACTTTCTTTTCCCACCTCACATCGCCCTCACTCACACTTTCGGCAAATGGGGGAACTACAACTTCCCTGATCTCCCCTTTAGATAATGCAAATTGTAAATAAATTCTAATCTCAATCTTTATTAATAAAATATAGTATGGAACATGCAACACTTACATAGTGCTGAAGTTGAACGTATATGTCTTGCTTGATTTAGCCAAAAATGGTTTGCCTTGTACTTTTTGCATCTACAAACAAAACATTTTAATCTTTTTTAATCTTTGTCCCAGTTTTAGAAACTTAACATAGCATCAAAAAACTATTGTTCTTCAAACACTTGGTATCAATATCAAATTTCAATTAATTTAAAAAATATAAAAATAGAAATATAAAATAATGCATACAATGTTACTTACAACAGAGATTTGGTATTGGCTACATGCTCAGCATGGATAACTACAGTACGTCCTATAAAAATGATTTATTACAGTTAATCATTTTTTGCTGATAAGCTTTTCCAATCGACATATATTGCTGTTGCTCTGAGTCCTCGTTATATTTCATCAGTGTCTTATCAGTGTTTTATATGTCATCTCTCATTAATCTTACCTTGACTATACAACGATCTCGCAACCTGTAAAAAGAATGAACGAAACTAGTTAGTCTTATTCCAACAATGACATGTTCGACACAGCAGCGACAAACCAATGAAAAAAAGATAAAATTCTTAGAAAAACGAGCGAGCGATCTTATGAAATACCGACACGGTACGGCAGCCTCGCCGAGGATAAAAATAGTCACAAAAATAATCATTATTTCCATCGCGGAAAGATAAAAAATAGAAGAAAAACAAAGAGAAAACAAAAATCAATGTCAATCAATGGAATGATTGTGATGTTAAGATTATTTGCCGAGGAGAACCGGCGATTAGGGAAACTTATTTGACAGGTGACGATATTCCACGCGAGTCACGAGGAAATTCTCGGGTCGAGAAAGGCGCATATTATGTAATCGCCGTCGCAGTCAAAAGAACCGGAGGAGCCTTGACGAATCTCGGAGGAAGAACAAATGGAACCAGGATTCGGTGAACATTTCTCGGATTAAATTCCGTACCCTTGGAACGAGCATGGGCTCGAGCGCCGTGAGTTAGGCGGGCTAGGAGGAATCGATGCAGAGCGGGAAAGTGACTCAAGAAAAGCATTTCGCCTCTCGCCTACTCACCTCGGCCCGCAACACGCTACTCCGCGTGATCACGCGTGGCACAAGCCGCGAACAATTGGACAGCATCGCGGCCATCCCTCGGACAGATGAACTGTACACTCGCACTCGAACGTCCGTTCACGAACAGCAGGCAGCGGCAGATAGGAACGATGGCACGCGCGCACGATTTCTCGCGGCGGAGACCGACAGGGCTCGGAACTCGGAAGTGGGTAGATTCTGAGAGATGAGGGGTTATGATCGGATGAGCGACATCTGTTAAGAACGGACTGCACTAGTGTTTTATTTTTCCACCATGTGAGATGGAGTCTAACGTTTGAAGGATATTGTAAAAGAAAATTTCGTATATCTCTTACATATTCGGACTACATTATTTTGTGTATAAAAACTAAAAATATTTGTATATTCTCTCTCTGTTTCTCCGATCTTTAAAATTTTAAATTTGATACATATTATTTAAAAAATTTTTTAAATCTTTATTTTTTGATGCCCTTTACTATGCCTCCTGTAGTCAACGTGAAATAAATAAGGCTGAACTGAATATTTTGAAAAAAAAGCAATGTGCAAATTATACAGGAACAGATTTCTGTAAACAGGAATTGTAGCTTTCTTTGCTATTAATGTATTAAAATTATATTTGAGACATCAAGATTTACATGACTTCCTCATATAACGTTATAATTATAATCTTATACAACCTATATATAACGATAAAAAAGTAGAAAAATAACATACATTACATAGTCTCAATGTAATTTCTATAGACTTATTTATTTTTTGTATAGCCTTGATTCTCAGTATATCTTTGGCGAATAGTGGTGTCTATCCATATTGATAATTTTTTATTATACATCTCTTCAGAGATACATGTAACAAATAATGCAAACACAGTCAGTCTTGCATGCTCAATAAACTCTGCTGTAATTTCTTCTGGCATCTTTTGGAACTTTGTATCAAAATATGGATATCCAATGACATGTACATAATCAAAAGGTTGAATTTCTTTACCTAACAAGCCACCGTTTGTCTCTGACCACCATTCATTCTCCAGAATCTGTCAATAAAAGCAATCGTTGCAACAAATAATTTATAATATAATTCTCTATATTTTAATTATATATAATATATATATATATATATATATATATATATATATATATATGATCTCTTAAACACTTACAGCTACATCATGCAGAGATACATCACATGGATAGGAGAATCCTGGACGTATCTTGGGAAACTTCTTTGGATAATTTTTATTCATTTTCATCTTATTGCTTCTCAAATTTTCAGCTTGGTGCCTATACTTCTCATCAATTTGTTGCCGTTGTTTCAATGATAACATGTATTGTTCTAATTTATAATTAACTTCCACCACTCCTGTTCCATCCTCAACTGTAAAAAGATTAGAATTCAGATATTCTCTCACTTACTTTGCTAAAGCTTCTTGTTTATATCTTACTTGTCAGAGATAGATTATTAGCATTACGCTTAACATTCCTAACGGTTCCAACTAGCTCAATTTTACGTACTTTAATATAAGGCATATTGAATGGGTGAAAATGCACGTAACGGCCTTCTTTGTAGGGTACCAATCGAAATAATTCCATAATGAGCACGGGTACATTTAATGTTGCTCGTGAATCTGAAATTAGAATTGACATCATCATATTGAGATCCGAGATGACAAAAAAATTTATTCTCACCGGCTTTGACATTAATCCCAGGCCACTCCTGCTTTGACGAGAGATATTTTTGGTAATCCGTATACTCCTCTTTGCTAAAAGTAGTGATACAATTTGCTGATTTCTTGTCAGACATTTGTTTCAACGAACTCGGATTCGATTTCTCGTAAATTAATGAATGTTCTTTTATTGTTAGTGATGATTTCACAATTCTCTTAATCGCATTTAACAAATACTTTAAAGAAAAATGAATGAATGATTCTTGCTCGATGCACGATTAACGGAAGACAATTTGAAAAGATTACGGAGAGAATTCGCTAATCGCGCTGGAATCATGTTTCTAAAATTTACCATCCGCCAATGTCACTCCAATTTTAATATCGCAGTCGGATTTTAGAGGGCATTGATAACATCTTGTCGGTAAAAAGAACATTTTGTTTTTTTTTTGCGCGATTTAAAAAATGAAAGTTCTCGAAGTTTGTCAAAGGATTGTGAGATTGTTGAAGTATTTCTAGCAAAATCCTGACGCAATTAAAATGGAAATCACTTGATTGATCACTTTGATTGACTTATGTCCATTTCTACCAATGTGGATAACTTTAATCTCTGATTAATTTTATCTTTTTAGTTATTTATTTTTTTTTTCCAATTCTATTTAATTCTGCTAATGTAGGTTAATCTTGATAATTTGCTCTTTTTAATTCTAAGAATTAGAAAAAAATAAAGAATGAAATAAATCGAAATTAAAATTAATAGACATTCATACAGATATATAAATTTATTTCGAACCAACAGCCTGAGGTAAAAATGTTTAGTTTCTGTTTTCTCTTCGAGTTGATTTTTTTTTTTAATTATTTAAGAAAATATAAAACTATTCGAAATGGATTCTGATTAGAATTATCCCATTTTTTTACAACATACAATAGAAAGCTAGAAAATAATTAAACAATTCCAATCAGAATTCATTCTGAGTAGTTTTATAAGAAACAGGCTTTACATATGAATTGGCTTTTATTGTATATTTTTTTATATCCAGACTTACTCCAGATTCATATTGGTCAGAAAATAAAATTATAATTGAAACAGTCATGCAACAAGAGTAACAGGTTTCATTCAGATCAGCCAACGGACTTTGACATATTTGTATATATTTAAATAAAGTTTATTTTTTGAAGCATTTTGCACAACACTGCTCTACACATCTGCTTATGTAAGTAAAATAATCCCGATCGCTTTTATAATAGTCATATAATATATGTACACACCTTAGGGACCAATTCGTTGGATTATTAATGTACACAATTGAGAGCTGCCGGAATTCTCAGGATCTTTCTCGGGAGCTCGTAGCCACGTTAGGATCGCGATTCAATCGCGATTTTGGTCGCCACTCTTTTATACTGACTAGGTTAGTAATGCATTTTTAAGTCGTGCAGTGATTCTCACAAAGTTACGGATAAAACGGCGAATATCAAAAAAATTGTCCCAGTCGCTATGCGGAGAAATTTTACACAAAGTCTAACATTTCGCGGCTCGTCTCATGTAAATGCAATAGCATCCAGCTTTGGCAGTATGATTTTTCATTCTCCGATTTTATGTATATAAATATATAATACAGCAGTGTAATTTACTCTTTTTTTTTCTTGTCACATATTACATATCGTAACTTAGGTCTTTCTTATTTAAAATTCCGACGGCTTATAGCTTGAATACGAACGCGCGCACCGCGATAAGTAGTGCGAATGTAGGACCTAGTTTCGAAGAAACAAACATACTGAACATGAAAATTCGAATGTATATATGTTATCCTCTGTGTATTGCTTTAACTACAACACCCTGTATAGATGACGACAAGAGGGAATCTCGAGATCCCTGTACGCGTCTGTTCTCGATCGGCAATAATGATGATTTATATGTTTTGTACTTTGTAAGTTAGCTAATGTACATGTTCATCACAACACTGGGACGATCGTCGAACTGTCCTTCCGAAACTCACGATAACAATCGTCGTTTCTGTAGTCAGAGACAGCTTGGAAATGTATGTTACAATTCGTTATATCGCTACAAAATAAAAAAGAAACGAAGAGAAAGAGGACAGAAATTGCACAAAAAACAATATCTTACATTACGATAAAATTACTTAAAATCGACACGCTTATCACTGGATGCTCGCTGGTCGTTGGAGACAATAAAAGTAGCGCAAATATTAATTTAATTAATTAATGCAATGCTTAAATGCAATTTCGAAATGCAATAGAGCACCTAAAATATTTTAATCTGTCTAAAAAAATAATCGCATTTCTCTTCATTGCACCGGCGTATATGTCGCGTTTTAAAGTCATATTTTATTCTTATATTATAACGGTCTTTTTTGTCTATTTTTCATGTATTTTTAATATATATTTGTATTTTTAATATCGAAATGATTCTGCAATGACAGAAGAAGAGAGTATTCTTCGAGAATAAAGCCGATTGTCTTCGTTAATATATAAAAAAAATATCTTAATGTTTACAGCGCATTCGCATGCAATCACAAGAAATTCCCTTTAGCTTTTTTTCATTAAAATCGGGTTCGTTTCAGATAACGCATGTTAAGACAAAGAAGTAAGTCTTGCTATTGAAGATCAAATCTACTTCGAGATATCTCGTTAGCACAACAAGTGTTAATAAATCGGCGAAGAACTTACAAAGACTGATGCTAAAGGATAACGCTATTATCAGCAAAGACGTCTCTCGAGGCGCGCTACTGCAAAATCACACGTAGTCATTCGTCGGCTTCGAGTGCACCGAAAGCATGCCGGTGTGAGTCGATAACACATCCTTGCGCGATCTTTTTGAACGGACGTGCGATAACTTTTTTTTTCATCGCAAACAACATCATTACACGACTAGTGCCTACTTTCTACAACCATAACTTCGAAGGATAATGAAAAATATCCTCCCTTATCGTTCTTAGAACGTATCCATAGGAATCTTGAAGCAAAGGAAAGCAGATCAGGAATCTCGTGTTACACTGAAGATTCCAATGACCAGAAAATATCAATCGTACTCGATCAAAATACAGAATGAGCCAGAGAGAAAGAGAGAGAGAGAGTTCGGAATTGACCTCCCCTTGACGAAACTTGAGCGACTTGTTAATTATAGACTAGTTAAAGTTAGAGTTTCAAAAGATATTGATCCGCGTATCGAGTGGCGTTTGTGCAGGCACACGTGTCTGTGTTTTCCTGATTCTGGGCGGCTTTTGAGTCTCTGAAATGTTCAAGCTCATTCGCGTTAAATAAATAGGCCTCCAAATAGTCATTAAGATCGGCGTCGAATTTCTCAAAGGACTATTCCTAGTACTGCTCTCTATCTTTCAGGTTCATGCGGTATGTTGAGAGACAGAAGAGAGAAAGAGAAAGAGAGAATATATCTCGAGTTAAATATATTTTTCAGAAGATAACGTTTTAGAGTCTCTCTAAGTGCAGAGCAACATTTTTTAAAACATCATTCTATTATTTTCTCTCATGTATACGCGCGTGCATTCAACGAACAGCAATCATTCAGCAGTCACGTCACCGCTTCCGTTTTTTCCGCACGCACACCACGCATTCTTACACGCTATTACATAGTCGTGTCGCGAGAGTTTTCACAGCGAGAAGAATTTCAGGAAGGTCTGCGGAGGGATCGGCACGTGGAGGGACGCCTGGTCGACGTCCGCCAGTTTCTCCTGAAACGCCGGATCCTGATCCGCGATGCAAGGATGGCCCAACGATCGCCAGAACAAGCAACGACAATTGCGGCATAATTGTATCATCTCGGCGTATTCCTCTCGTAATCCAAATGATCTGAGTAAAGTCAAGAATGTTGAAACTCATATTTTCGAATGTTAAACCGACATTGTCGTTCGCATATAAAAGAACAATCACCTTCGAGCAATAGTGAATATAACTTTCCAGTCTTTTCCGGGATTATTTTGTCTCGTGATAGCAATCTGCTGCGGCGTGAAATGATACTGGGCGAGCTCGCGCCAGATTCGTTGTTCCTGCGCTAGAACGGCAAGATGTTCGCATGCCTCGGACGAAGCTTCAATGTCTCGAGGATCGCTTAAGCGCAAGAGTATTTCTCGACGACACTCAGGCGGTAGATCCGACCATTGAGGTTGCTGCTCCTCGTCCGGCTACAATGACTCGTTCGTTATTGATTAAGTCATATCTTTTTTTGAATATCTTTTTTTTAAACTGCCCCATATTAACATAATATTTTAAATGTTACCTGGGTAATGGTGATAGACGAAGCAATTTGTAAGATTCTCTCTAAAGCTGCTTTATGCTTCTCCCATAGGATAACGGAACCCAAGGGTCTACCGCCCCAGCAGCAACCAGCACTGAAGGCCCGAACTCTCTCTATAAGACGACGCAATCTTCCCGTCTGCTGTTGCGATAGCGACACTAAAATAATGGTTAATTCAGCAAGAATAACAATCATCCCCTTTAACAAACATAGTGAAATTGCTAAATGAATTTTACAATAGATTTTATAAGTTCTTAAATAAAATCTCCTTACCTTCCAGAGCGACTTCCTCGAGCATGTTGAAGAGCACTCTCTGAGCGCATCCGCTTAAACCGCCCATTCTGTGGCTGACCAGGAGATCTAGAAGACGAACTATGTAATTGAATCGACGGCAGTCATGTACCGCAGACAGGAAATCCAGCCTCTTCAGGGCGTCACTCAGGCCATTGAAGCCGGCAATCTGTAAATTTAGGAACGGATAATGATCCCGCTCGACAATGTCTAAGTATAGGAGATACAAGAGCCGTCGACAGTTTGTTACTGGTATTTTTTGCTCTTTTTTTCTTATTCACCGCACTCAACCTGTCTCTATCGGGCAAATCCCAGTCTTTTTCCTCTTGCACAAGGTTGTGTCTAAATTAAGACCGGGCCGGAAGGAGTCACTCACCTCGCGTGTACACTTCAGCGTGATGTGACAATGTGGTTGGACGGCGTTTTCTGAAATTTAAGAAAAACATTCATCGGCCAGAGCTCTTTACGAATGTCATTTCAAACCTATTATTGCCGCTATTATTGCTCATTCAGAGAAGTGCAAAAAGAAAATTACTCGACCTCGATACGTTATTTACAAATCATCGACGTAAAATTATTAATATTATAGCAAAATGACAAGAAAGAAAAAAAAGTGTGCAACAAACTTGGATTTATAATTATAGCTAACGAAGATCTTGGATCAGACTGAAATCGATAAGTCCTTAGATTTCAATATGAACTACGCTACTCACCTTTCTTCTTGTCTTTCTCCTTCTTATCGCCGACATCTTTTTCGCCGCTGTAAGAAAAGATAGTAATTTAAACGTGATACATCAGAAAAATTCCATGAAATTTCGAAAACGCGAAAACATAAAAATTTTCGAATTTTTCGAAAAAGGATATAAATTATGTATGTCGTGCTCAAAATTTTATATTATTGTATATTATTCCGTCTAATTTTTTTGTATTTAAAATACACGATATGAAATATAATGACAAAACATATAATATAATGACAAAAATTTTTCGAAATGAAATGTAATTTGTTTCAGAATAAGTTATCTTATTAATCTACGATTTTATTTTATTCTTATGCCGAATAGAAGCGAAGGAGATTCCTCACGCGAGATGCTGGAAGCACTAATATACGTATCCCAATTATGGCACAATACACCGCGACCGGTTTCAGCGAACTCGCGGCTGCTACATCTCAACGGAGTTAGCTTTAGTTTGACCATGGAAAGACTATCGTAGCTAATAATGTTCAAGAAACAGCTTCGTGGGACGCTTAAACCCGTTTTTCCTACAGCCTTTTTCAATAGAATTTTATTTCACAATATGACACAGATATATACATATAATATCAATAATTATCAATTCTAATAATCTCAAGTCTAGATAATAATTATCAATTCTTAGTAATATCAATTTTAAATATTTTCATAAGGAAATTAATATTTTCTGGTTATTTGCGTAATGCAACAACTGATATCGTTTTATTTAAATAAAAAACAATGGATTTTTAATTTTTACAGCGCAGTTAGAAGAGCGAATACAGTTTACTGTCAAGAAATAGTGAGTTATGTTAATATTAGCATCGTATCAGTATTGGACGAAAGAGAAGAAAAATACATGTAGGCGTTCCTGTCTACGATATAATCAGTTAAACCAGCCACGACGAATCTGTTTCGAGAATCGATCAATGATGCACCTTCACCGTTGTCAACGGAGACTGTAATTGCTTTATAATACGCTGATCATAATTAACACAGACACATCTCGTAAGTAGACATTAACGGTCATTTTTATCGATTACAATAACGTTCTTGTTTCAGTCGCGACATATGAGAAGTGCGAGGAAGCGGAAAAATGCATCGGAATTGCAGCAAATCCTATTACACACCGCGTGTCACCGCAAGATGATTCTATCGTCTTTTAATAGATGCGACATCGATTATTTAACTGTCACTAGATTACAACACATGCTATTTTCTAAGCAAGGAATTCAAATATTCGCGTTGACATGCATGAGATTTATTCTTGTCTTTAAAGTGTCGGGGATTAATCCGCGTGAAACGCGGCCATCCTCGTTAATTTAGAAGTTTCAAAGTACCCGCGATCGATACTTATTAAATTCGGTCATTTATAAATCGGTTTAAAAGTTATGTCCGCGATACGAGATTCTCAGCGAACGTTTATGCGAAAACGAAAACGAAAAAAGTAATTTTCTTGAAATATCTAAAAATTCGACAGATAAAATCTGAACATAATTTTGTTCATTAAAATAATTATACAAGACGTTTAAATATAATAATACTACAAAAATTGTTTACATTCAATCAACGTTGAATATTCTACATAATTTAAACAATTTGAACGTTCTACATAATTATTTTGATGGCCCAAAAAGTTATTTTCTGACCTTTGTCTAAATTTTTAAATATTTTAGTAAAATTGCTCTTCCCTCTTTTTCTTGTGGATTATCTAAAATAATACATAAAAAAACGACTTTTTCAAAATTTTTAATTTTAGATGTCTAAGGACATAGTTATATTGGATCTGAATGTCAAAATCGCCAGATGCCAGATTACTCTGCTAGTGGAGTTTTGTAAACGATTCTTATTAGGAAAAAAATTTTTCTAAATCCTAAAAAAATGCAATTACAAACAAAACTAAAAAAACCAAAAAACTATCCTAATTATATCAACTAACAAATGTTATTGTTAAACTTTTTAAATTTGTCGTACATCGTTTCATGTTTTTACAAATCCTCAAATTGAAAATCTTGAAATATTTAAGATAATTGTTTTCTTTTTTTTATACTCAGAAATGCATTGCACTTCGTCGCACTTTTCTCGTCACTTATGATTCTGTCTATGGCATGACAGCGATGTTCTATTATAGGGACGCAACGACGACCTTGTACGTTAACTCGTGCGCACATGCAGCAGCCTTGCGTGCGGACGTATTTGTGACTCCGCATGAGCGAGGCTGGATGGGGGAGGAAATTTTCGATTTTAACAAATCGATCAATGATGCATCATGCCTCATACGACGCCGTGCCCTTGCCCTTTCAAATTGCAGGCTCGATGGGGCATTTAAGGGCTATCAAATAGCCCATAGGAGACCTTATATTAATAAGCTTGAGTGATGCAGGGAGAGACGGAGAGAGAGACAGATGGAGAAAGAGAGAGAGGAAAATATCTTGTCCATGAGATGGATTATGTAACTCATAACGCTCATTACGAGAGATCAGCTGTAGACACGCGTGTAGCACGCATGCTTTGAATAAAGAATCATAAATGCGGAAATCTCTCGACACCGTTCAATATCGATACCCTGCAACTGGAGCGATCAATGTCACGCCAATGTTCTATGGCTTGAGGGTAGAAGGACAAACATCATATATCAGAATATATGTTTGACGTCATATTATGCATGTTATCAGAATTACTTGTTTTATATTAATAATAGATCTTTCAATTGGGACGAGTGTTGATTGAAATGTTGCAATAGTATTATATTAAAATATTAAAAGTTATGTGTTACGAATAATTAAAAACAGAGGACTTTTTGTTTCGGAAGCATTTTAATCTTCTTGGGAATGTAATGTTTCATAATTAACAATAAAATAACATAATTTTGCTCCGCATTAAGTATCTCAATAATATTTATAACACAAAAATGATTAACTCTGTGACATAGTTTCAAAGTTACAAGTGCAGTACGTTGATAGAAGATAAATATGACTTGGAAAGTTCTGCGGTCTCTTCATTCCCTCATTTCTCTTTCTAGTTCCGAGCCGCAGAAGGACGTTAGTTATTTTAGTTCTGTACAATATACGAAGACTAATGTATAAAGCAAGTGCGTTCTATACTTGGAGAAAGAAAATAATTTTATTCCATTCGCGTTTGCGATATAAAACAGTTAAATTAGATTCATCCCAATAAAAATTTCTAAAAAAACAGAGACAAATTTTGAAAGATCTGACGATATAAAAGTGTTGGAAAAGTGTAACGACGCTGAAAATTTCAGCGACAGATAATGAATATAGCTAAAGAAACTCACGAACAAGACTATATCCGAGTTTGAACTGAAACGGATATAGCTCCGTTGCTGAGTGCTTGATAAATTCTTTGTTATTTCAAGATGTAAAAAACAAGACTATTTTCAAGGATCGTCGGGCTTCTCGTGAAACGAGTAATTCAAGGGATGTGTACTAAACTAAATGATCAACCAAGAATAGAAGAAATAGCGGAAGATGCGTAAAGAAATTGGAATGCCGCTTGGGTTATAAATAAAACGTGAGGCAAATGAGATCAATTTTTTATAATTTTATCTATTTATCTTTAAAATATACACATAGATACATATTTGATAAATCAAACGCTTAGTGTGTCTTCTATTTTTATTTATTTTTTTTAATGTACATATTTTTTACTATTCTGATTTCTTTAAGTTTTATTTAACGTTAAATTATATATTTCATATTTTAGTTCGAGCAATACTCATTTCGTGACAAGCGCTCACGAGTCAGAGCAGCGTGATGTGTAAGCTGGCCGATGAAGGCGGATAACGGTGATTTTTTACACGAGATAACCCCGCGCGAAAGAAAATACGGTGCAGAAACGGCTTTGTACTGCGTAACGCGAATAATTAATTCGCGAATATAGAGATCGGCCGTTGTGCGAAACTTTTACTTCTCGAGTTCATCGACCTCTTTCGTGATGCGCGCATCACGGCTAATCCCGTCCAGGCTGGGAAAACGCGCGTAGGATGGTTGTACGGTTGAATTGTCGAAATAATGGCGCGGGTGGGCGCATCAGTTATAAGTTAAGCCAACGAGCACACGAGGGAAACGGAGAAAACTGGCCTTTAAATCTTCCGCACGCAACAGTCCGGACTTTCCAGCCATTTCGTCTAACTGTATCGAGATCATTACGTGTACGCGGCGTGATAATATCGGTAAAAAAAGTGCCTCATTAATTGCGCGACAACCAGGTCGACAGCGATCCCGGCGGAGAGATATTTTTCTTATAAATAAACGCCTTTAAACGCAATAAAATATCTTGTAGATTTCAGGAAGAAAGCGACATATTTCTTCGCGTGAAGAGGATCTTCCAAAATTTTCACTCATTCCGTCCTTGTTTGCAGAATGTAAAAAAAAAAGGAGATTGAAAGGGAAGTCTTTTATTAGTATAAGAACAAAAGTATAAGAACAAATAGAGAGGATTTTTCTGGTACCATTTTCCAAGTTTCCGTTGATATTGTGCGAAAGCAGAACATCCTGGTTGATAAATTCGACGCGAAGAGCCCGCGCCGTCTAACCGAATTTATCAAGGCTGTGTGGGTACGTATATACCGTGAGCGGTTTGCGAATTGGTGCAGGTCACGTTAGTAGCTGGGTCACGACCCACTTCCGCATCGGCAAGACACGCGCTAGTATTTTCCCGTTTTGAGAATTCGATCTAGCCCGCTCAAGAATGCCTAATCTCATCGATGAAAATGCCAAACAAACTCTTCCAAAGAGAAGAGATTCGTCTGTCTTGTCCATATCCAATGTTGAGGCGCACGATTCGCGTTTTATTTCTCTAAAAGAAATTGTTCGAACTTTTAATAAAATCAATCTTATCTGACATTTGAAGCCTGTAGGACTGTAGACTTATGGGATTGCTGGAGTATTCGATAAAGCCAGCTTTTTTAATAAAAATGTTGAACAGTCAATATTATCATAGATATAACATGGATATTGAATCTTCTTCTATTATAGATTTTCCAATCTGAGCTTCCGGGAAACCC